AAAAAAGTGAAAATCAGCCGACTTTCGAAGTTACACAAAATACACTCGATGTTTATTTTGTCATATATTTCCTTTTCACAATCAAAATGACCCTTCATTTTTCACACCAATCGAACATCAGTCGTATTTTTCAAAAGTTAGCTCGACTATTTTGTGAATACATCAAACACGAGGTATTAATCGTGTGAATGTGATGCAACTTATCATTTCTTCATGTTATAGTTGCAAATGCTTATTGAAAATAACAAAAAAATGATCCAATTATCTTTCATATCCGAAAATGAACGATATTTTTGTAGTTAAATTAAATTTAACTTCCATCTGTAGTTTCCATAATTACTTGTTCCACAAATAACTCATATTTTCACTATCTCATCAGATATCCCACACCTCCTTAAAAACAAGAAGAGCTGTCGTCCGCCTCTGCCACATCATCGCGACACGTGGCGCCCGGCTGGCAGCTGCTGGTGTCCTTGGGGTCTTAAAGAAAATGGGAAGGGACACTTTGAGAGACGATGGGAAAAAGACGGTTATAGCCATGGATGGGGGACTATATGAGCATTACAAAGAATTCAGGGAGTGGTTGGAGAATACATTGCAGGAGTTGCTCGGGAAGGAAGTCGCGAAAAGCATTAGAGTCGAGCACTCGAACGATGGCTCGGGTATTGGGGCTGCTCTTCTTGCAGCCTCCAACTCGTTATACGTTGGTGACAAGTCATCGTCATGAGAAAACGATATTGGGCCAATTGTAATTTCCAAATGCCATGCGTGCACGCTACCCGAAATCTTTACTTACTTTTTTTTAAAAAAAAATTATGTTTTTTTTTGCCTCAGTTATGTGGATTGTGAATTGTGATTTTTGAGTTCATATTCAATGCAATGATTTTGAGAGTTTTGACAATGTTGGTTTGTAGTTTATATTTATCTATTTTTAATATTTTTTGAAGTTCAAAGCTTGGTATACTTCATTACATTAATCATAATACTAAAACATACTTACAATGAAGCATGGTTTCATGATCATAACCACACTTAGGGAGTAACTTGCTCTCGATGTGAGGAATAACATTATAATCTCAGTTTCACCTATATTTCTCTAATTGATCAAATTTTAATATATACCTACACTTCACTTCAGCAACAATTTTTCGAAGTTCAAAAGCTTGGTATATTTTCTTACATTAACCATAATATTAGAACATAAATTACAATGAAGCATGGTTTAGTGGAGTACCTTGCTCTCCATATGAGGGTCAACATTATAATCTCAATTTCGCATATTATTCTTTAATTGATCAAATCTTCATATATATATATATATATATACTAGTTGTCTTACGGCCGTGCACGCACGGCCGGTCAAATTTAGTGTGAAATATAGTGAAATTTTTTCATCACTTGAAATGATCATTCATATATATATTTTGTAAACAATGTTACTAAATTTGATACAAATGAAGTTTATATTGAATAAATTTTGACAAAGTTTGACTTTCATAAACTCTCTGAATAAGTTTGTAATTCTTTTGCACAATTTAAATTAATAACAAAAAAGTACTTGGCGATAAATTTGCACATAGTTTTATTGTGTCCATGTTGAGGTTTAAAATTAATGTTCGTATGTTGTTGGGATATAGCCGACTGTTAATTAAGTAATAATTATTAGTCATAATTTTGTATTTTTTGTTTGCATTTGTTTTTTTATTGAACTATTGCATTGACAGGAACAATAAAAAAAATCACATTAAAACGAACCATAAAACCATCTATATCTTAATTTTATATAATGTATTTTAACTTCTCACTTTTTGAATGAAATCTTCAGCTGAGTACATATAAAGTCTCCCATTTTTACATTGCTTGTTAACAAAATAAGCGTTCACCATAAAAACCCACTACATAGCTTTTTGGGTAGTTGTTGCATATCTTTACATATATTATGCCTGTTAACTTGACATTGTCTCAAGATCCTTTCTCATATTACTGATTATTCCCTAGATGCCCTCTGAATTCCTCTTCTTTAAAGACGTGAAGAGAAGAGTTTCATAAAAGCTCAACACTCATAGTAACTCCATATACAAACACACACACACACACACACAATTCTGCATATCTCAATAAATACAAACTGTGAACACTCCTATGTGATCACATACTGCAACTATGCAATTGGTTAATAACAAAACATCATCAGTAGTAATAACATAACAATTTTAACACTAAAAGGCGAATATTTTAGAAATAATCACGTGCCTCCAAAGGTCATAAGAAAATGTGATATTTGTTTGCTTGATTGTTATTATAATTAAATTTTATACTATGCTGATCATCCTGTTATTAAAAGGGTCTTATATTAAAATTCTTGCATTACTACTGACATACCCACATATCAACTACTATGAATAGGGTTTAAACATATTTTTTATTCACAAAATCAGACTGCCCCAATTATAATCCGAAGAAATTAAACACAATCAGACTATATGATAATAATGTGGACAGGAACAATAGAAAACTGTTGGTATAAAGAAGAAACACAACTTAAAGAAAACCAGGTCCTACTACACAAATTATATATCACCACAATTCTATCCGCAACATGATCACTGCATAAAACACAGTTAAACCGCTCGTGGCATCCCTTGCAAAGGTCATGGGCCCCATGCCGAAGCTCTTGCGTCACCTAAAAAATAGGTCGCCTGTTACCAGCTGGCCCCTTTCATGGCCCATCCTATATAAAAAGCATCAAGAGTCAGTTGCTTTTATCTAATCCTACTCGAAATTTACGTCTATAATTCAATGAAGCGATTGATGTATCAAGACTCAAGAGTGTCGTTTAACCTTAAAAATAAAACAAAAGAACCGTAAACGATAATTTTACATTTCATGGCTTAAATCCCAATTTTTTCAAACACAAAAATGAAATATTTAATCATGACCGTCCCCCCAGTCCAAGACACAAATTGAAAAATGAATAAAAAATATGTTTATCCATGTTTGTACCTGAAACAAAGCAACCCACCTAGACGCTCGAAACAAAATACGTTTCTCTTGAAAATAAACTCCAAATACCCTTTTCCTCCACTACCATCCTCGTCGTTGTCGTCGAAGGAGCAGTCGCTCGTGTACATCTTCACACCGGTCCTTCTCCCCGATCTCCTTCGCCCGCGACATCACGAACGGCAGGTACCTCCTCGATCCTCGGAGTAGTGTCACCACTTTCAACCTCAAAATCACGCAAAAATTAGCCAAGCACCACCTACCACACTCCCTGAGCATATGCACATAGAATTAGCGCATGGTTTCAATAAAACAACATAATATTTGAAAATAACATATAGAACTATGCAGAACATAGCCACATTATCAAAATAACATGATTCAGGTAGATATGATAACCATCAAAAGCTTTACGAATAAAAAATAACGTTCATAAGATTTTTCCTATTTAATATATAATGTATAAGACTCTTTCATCAAAATAAAATTGAGCATTCTCAGGCCTACAACAGATTTTTCACGAAGCGATTTGGCTATTTGGCTATATTCTTACATACAACTATTTGGCTAAAAGAAAATTAAAACCCAATAAATTTTTCACAAATATCATCAAAAGTTATCTCACCCTCCAAACACGGCAATCCACATATTTGTGACGGTGGCCGTATGTCAAAATCGACCTTGAGATTTTTGACAAGTCACATTAAGTCGAGCCCAAAAGGATGTGTTGATGTCGAGAACCCAAATATCGTTGAAGTACTGTTTGTCGTCAATTCCACCCAGTACGTATACCTGCATATAACATTATTCACATGGATCTCGAATTCAGCAATGACCATCATAATAAATTAAGCTAGCAGTTTCATTAAGAACAAGAAAGCAGAGAAGTAATAAAGCACAAAACAGAGTAAAACAAGATTCTTCAAATCATAAACATTCACATTCACATCCTGTAATCTATAAGAGTCACTTGCTCAACCAAACACATTATAAAAATAAAATTGCATGTTTAAATTTTGGCAACATTATCACTACTCGCCTTAGTGCCAATACTCACGGAAGCATGACCAGCGCGCACTCGACCAAGGACCACCAGCATCCACCTAAAGCCAAAAAACAATTAATCATGGTAGGTACACCATAAAACTCTCCCTCTCTCACAACACTCCCTCTTAACATACATCCAGTGATGGACAATCGAGTGCTAATATAGACAATACAGACAGTTCATCGTATGTTTGTAGAGAAAAATGCACTTAACATCAAGTGCTAATAACTTTTCTCAAGAGAAACAATTACAAATGCTAACCAATGACAAAATATACTGAAATAACTTTCACCAATTGCACTACTTTATGTACATGAATTGGGCTTTTAGGATTCGGGTTCCAAGCAAGTTTGTAATGCTCTAGGAAATTTATGTATTATAATCTTTTGATTGTTCCTTTTTCAACACAGACCCTCAAGCTCAGATGCAAAACTCATGAGAATTGTTCGGCTATAAATTCTGTAAGAATATTAGGGAACCAATGATGAATAATTAGATCTTAGAAGGCTAAGTTGAGTTTGAACTAACAAAATTGAAAAAAAAAAAGAAGTGTGAATTAAGGGAAAAAAAAAAGTAAAGAAAAGGGAGGAATGTTGAATCCTTTCATTATCTTTTCGAAGGAATCTAACTCGCAAGATTGGATTTTGTCTATATCTTTTAACTTCGCTCATAAACTCACACAACAATAGACAATCAGTCACTACAATCATCTCACTCAAAATACACAAATCTATCGATAAATAGTAATCATCTTTTCACAAATTTGACAATTTCAATTACCTCACCCCAATATGAGCCAAACATAGGATAACGCAGGAGGGCCAAAAGCAACAGAAATAATCAAACTGAAAGATAATAAAGATGGTTGATTTATGAACTGATATTCCAAAAGCCAATCACATTAACCTCTCAATTTTCCAACGATTTTTGAAGAGAGTTTGCACAGCCAGAAAGAGGACGTCTTTCTCATTTTTATTATTTATTGTTCTTTGTTTCTAATACATGACGAAAAAATTATTTTCCACACAACTTCCGACGTAGATGAATTAAGACACTCTATATGCCTAGTGAAAAACGGAAAATAGACAACCACACCACTTTGATGCTGAATGAGGGGTGGAGAGAAATTTGAGACTGTCCTGCTTTTACCATTCCGAACAAATTATGCGTCATAAGTGAATTTGTTTCCTCTTAAGTTCTCCATTCATAGACAAAAGAAAACACCAGAAATGTGTTAGTACACACACAAATCAACAAAAATATGAGTATGGAAAAAATAATTTATAAATCATAACTTTTTTTTTTTCGTATCATCGAGCTCTAAGTTTATCGGCAGAGTTCCAAAATTGCACAAAGCTTATCCAGTTCATTTTATCTCTGCAGCTATCTTCCCTATCTCGATGGCTTTCGACTTCGTCTTTACAGATTTTTTTTTTTCGGTATGAACTCCTCCAACTGAGGCGCATCACTCGATTTCCTGTACTGAGCTAATTCATCCTCCATCTCTATAATTGCTGCAAAAAAAAAAGGATATATCGCAGCTAAAATACCAGCAAATGAAGTTCGGTCATGCATACACACGTCCATAGCTTCCTTACCACTGTCTAATGATCAATACCACGTATCAAACAAAACAAATGCACCAGCAAACAAGAGAACAAGATCAATGAACAAACAACTTAGTTATACATCACCACATCAGTTCTACTCCTGCCATTGTTGTCCAAACTGTAGCTATACATAACCAAAGCCGCATTAAAACAGATCCCTAGCTATAATTTATCATAATCTATTGTTAAAAAAAAAAAAAAAACTAACAAAAATGACTGTAAAAGAAAGAATAAGAAACTCACCAGAAAATCGAATGAATAGAGAGAGATTCAGAACCTGCTCGTGAAATTGCTCAGAGGAAAACGAATTTTGACTTTTGCAGCCCCTTTGATCTCCGTTGCTACACTATCTGAGATGCCATCTCGTCCGAGATGCTGGCCCTAAATCAAATGAAAACCAAGATCGATAAACAAGAGACACAATTATCTAAATAAAACCAAAAAAATACTCCAAATTTACCCCCAAAACATCAAAAATAAAAAATTACAGAACAAAATACAACTCAAAACCTGATCGTCCACGGAGTTCATTGGCGATCTGATTAGATATTTCGTTGATTTTTTCTTCATAGTTCTTCTCTCGCTCGCAGCCATAAAAGATAATTTGGGACCAGTTCGGACTATTTCTTCGGAGGATGCTGGTGCCGGATTTTTCGGCTCCATGGAGAATTGTGAACTTCTTGATTTCGGTCACTGGTGGTGGCTGTGGCCGGGATGCGTGTCGTTGAGAACTTTCTGCTGAAAATTGCGGTGAAGGTATGGAATCCTTCGCGATGGCGGCGGTGGGTGTGGTCTAATCGGGTGAGGCATCGTCTTTCTAAGGTGGTTGAGGTGGCGGCGGAAGGCTAAGCTGGTGGTGGTGTTTGGGGCCGCCTGACGTGAATCCATTGGGAGAGAAAAAAAAGGGTAAGGGTTTGAAAATGGTGAAAAAATGAATTGCTTTTCTCATCTCTCTTGCCTTTTGTCTTTTCAGAAGGACAACAAGCACTTTTCCGAGCAGATTTTGAGGGAGCAAATCCCGCAAGAAGCCTGCACAAGAAAAAGAATACATATAAAATGACTTTCACAACCCTAAAAAAGTTGAATACTGAAGGGTATTAGAGTCAAATAATCTCCAAAAATACAAAAAACAATCAATTTACCTTATTGACCTTCAAAATTAGTAAGTGGTATTGTTTTTGTGCTTGTCCAAAAAAGGGCATTTTAGTAATTGCACAGTAAAATGCCAAATGTCAAGCAACTAAGTCGCCACTTATCGCCATTTAAGAGCCTATAACTTCTTTTTTTGGACATTTTAGTAATTGCACAGTAAAATGCCAAATGTCAAGCAACTAAGTCGCCACTTGTCGCCATTTAAGAGCCTATAACTTCTTCATATATATATAGTAGAGATAGAGATATATATATAGTAGAGATATATACCTACACTTCACCTCAGCAACATTTTTTTGTTTTTTCGAAACTCAAAGCTTGATATATGTTATTACATGCATCTTTGCTACCTTAATATAAAATTAAAGGTATTATTATGAGTTATGACCCAAATCAAAATTCGTTGACAGTTTGACACTATTCTTCAACATTTGCATTCTCCCAAAGTCCATCCTCAGCACCACGCGCCGCCGCTTATGGCTCCACCTCCCATCGACAATTCCGCCTCCATATTCGTCGCCGGTCACCGCGGCCTCGTCGGCTCCGCCGTCGTCCGCAGGCTCAGATCCCTCGGCTACACCAACCTCCTCCTCCGCACCCACGCCGAGCTCGACCTCACCTCCCAGCCCGCCGTGGACGAGTTCTTCGCCTCCCACCGGCCCCGCTACGTCGTCCTCGCCGCCGCTAAGGTCGGCGGCATCCACGCTAACAACACCTACCCCGCCGATTTCATCACCGTCAACCTCCAGATCCAGACCAACGTCATCTCCTCCGCGCTCCGCCACCAAACCCTAAAGCTCCTCTTCCTCGGCTCCTCCTGCATCTACCCCAAATTCTCCCCGCAGCCCATACCGGAGTCCGCCCTCCTCACCGGCCCGCTCGAACCCACCAACGAGTGGTACGCCGTCGCCAAGATCGCCGGGATCAAGATGTGCCAGGCGTACCGCCTCCAGCACTCGTTCGACGCCATCTCCGCCATGCCCACCAACCTGTACGGGCCCAACGACAATTTCCACCCGGACAATTCCCATGTCCTTCCAGCCCTTCTGCGCAGGTTTCACGAAGCCAAAGCCAATGGTGCCCGTAGCGTGGTGGTTTGGGGCAGTGGGACCCCTCTGCGCGAATTTCTTCACGTAGATGACCTGGCGGACGCCATAGTTTTTTTACTGGAGAATTACAGTGGTGTGGAGCATGTGAATGTGGGGAGTGGGAAGGAGGTTACCATTAAGGAGCTTGCTGAGCTTGTTAAGGAAGTGGTTGGATACAAAGGGGAGATTGTTTGGGACTCGAGCAAGCCTGACGGGACGCCGAGGAAGCTCATGGATAGCTCGAAGCTTGCGGGCCTGGGATGGGAGCCCAAGATTTCTCTCAAGGATGGGCTTGTGGGTACTTACAAGTGGTATCTGGATAATGTGGCCGGGAAGCAATGACGATAGACAGGTGACTTTTTTTCTTTTTTCGGAGACTTTGTTGATGTATTTGTTTGATTTTGCCCACGAAGTTGATAATTTTGGTGTGCTATATGTGTAAGTGTATGAGATTTGTGATTCTATCAATTGAGATAGATGTGTTGGTGATGGCTATTGCTCAGAGTATGAGAGTGCAGTTATCTCAAATAGGCAATGTGGATTTTCTGTGAGTTGCTGAGGGTCATAAGATAATGGTTAACATAGTATATTGTGATGTCAATTGCTGGTTTCTTATAAAATGAATTTATGATTGCTGTTAACTGGCTATAGTATTGTATGATGATGTTAGTTTGTGGATGGTAAGTATTTAAGGTGAATTGATTGTTGTGCGGCTTCAAATAGTTCGCACGAAAAAGAGGATTTTGGTTCCTTGACTATTGTAAACTGAAACAGCTGAATATTGGTTGCGAGTTAAGGTGATGAGCATTCGTGTATACAAGTTACTGTGACTCTATTGCACCTGTAACCAAAAAAATGTTTAACTTGGAATTTACTTGAGTTTTTGGTCTTTGATGTACAATTAATTCTTACACTGATTAGCAGAAGAGTTGTTTCAAAGATATGTTGTACTTGTCTCTATATCTTATTTACAGTGTCCATCATGGGGCCCACATTTTACAACACTGCTTGTTATTGCATGTTTTGCAGATTCTGCCATAGGATTTATTTCACATTTAAGTGATTTCTTAAAACAATCTGTAGAATATTCGAAGATGCTATTGTCTGTGGTTTAGGATTGAATGCTCTTGCAATTTTATTATAGAAATTCAACCGTATGAGATGACTTTATCTGATCCTTTTTGAGTTGTTGCTCGTTTGAATTTTCCTCAGCTTCTTTTCTTTTCTCTTCTAATCTTGATGTATATGCCCTGGAGCCATGTTATGGAATATATGTTGCAGTAAAATGATTGTATGTTCTTTACTTATGGTTTGATATAATAGCTTGACAATGTCAGGTGTTTCAAGTTCGATATAATCTTTTGTTGTAAATTGTAATTACCAGTGTCGTAGTTTTCTTTGTATTGTCTGTATTTTCGAGAGCTGATTTTAGAGACCACCTTAACCGCTTCACACACGTGCCTGTTTTGATTTCTGAGTACATACTACATAAACTTACGCATTTGATGAGATCGGCCTTCTTCTTTGCCTTAATTCTTTCTGAGGCCACACAAATCCAGAATGTGTCAATATAAATTCTACACTTGGTGTAAATGCGTTTGATACAATGCATCTCAGTTCAGTAGTTATGTGTGTATTTCCCTGTGGATGTGCATACTTGACCTTTAGTACAAACGTTGTTTAAACATTCACTGCTGTACAAAAGTTAACTATTGTTACTAGTTTCTATACTTAGTCTTTTGCAATTTAAAAAGGAGAAAAATGATTAGGAGATCCCACATCATAATCTCTCAAGTCTCAACACATGCATTATTATACAATCGTAATTCTCTACAATGAACAGTACACATTTTTGGACCAGAAAACTATTTAGACTTTAATTGTGAGGTACAAGAATCGAACCATGCATGAACAAGTCCAACACCCTTATAAAGGATGATGTAAAATGAGATGATGCCATTTGTAATTGTGAGTGTCGTAATTTTATGTGTACCTAAGTTAGATGTAGTTTATTGTTTTGATGATATAATGTTATCATATTGTATTTCCCTATAATATTAGGAAATTAATGTGAAGCCCTTTTCATCAAATCATATCATGAACAAATCAATTTTATTGATCGATATCAAATGTATGTCTTTATTTGAAAATTTCAGTTGCATGAAGGAGACAAAAGAATTTATGTAATAGAAAAAAAAAAAAAATCATTGTTCACAAGTTAGGCGACGGCAACTTCCAAAAACGTATCTGCAAAAACTGACGTTTATAGGAATCAAAATGAGTCATATAACTATAAGAGGCTTGTCTGGAAAGTGGAAACTACTTGGTAGAGGTAAAGATACTAGATAATAACATAGATCGTCTCAGTCTCCAATAGCTTCATCGAGGTAAACTTATATGATTTTTTGTTTAAAAAAACTGAACAATGATCTTTGGATTGATAGTAAAGAAAGTAATGAAATCAAATGTTGATATGTTTTTTTTCCATGCAAGGTTAATTTTCTATTTTTTCTTTAGTTTTGGCTTTTGGGCACTAGCATGCTTAATTTGATGTTTTTGGTTTTTGTATTGAACATGATGATTTACAGAGGGATACTGGTGAAAAGGCCAAATTGCACGTAATGGAAGCCGAGCCTGATAGAAAATACTGGCAAAGGATTTGCTCAGAGGGCTGGGCCCAGCCCAGCCCAATTATCTACCTACTTCCGATCTAGAACTTGCTTTCAGATGACTGGCAGATATTTCATTAATGTAGTTAAGCTTGAAGTGAAATAGCAATTCTCACTTCTCAGTGTAAATGTATGAAACAATTAGCACAATACATATGCTTTTGAATGAAAGTGCTTAATCAGAAACATTTCTATATATGTTTTTGCACACACATAAAAGAATTACTCAGTCTGAAGTGCTTGCAAAACCTTTCGTGGTCCAATAAAAATGCCGAACACTTAGGTCCTGCTACAGCCATTCCACAAAATAAGTTGATTGTCTCATGTACAAAATGAGGTAATTTATGCACTAAATTTGCAGCAGCACAAAACTACATTGAGAAAAAAACTCAGATGTGGTTCTTTTCACATCTTTATACACCGCCACCCGATAAAAATACACAAAAATTCTCTGTACTCTGAGATTTTCCTTTGGTTATAATGCATTCAGCAGCAAAAGCAAATATATAACAACATGAAAGAAATCTATGCGCCGCTAAACTACAGCTGCAAATCAAAAATATCACTCTACAACAATTCTTACAGTTCTCTTCAATGTCCTTTGTCTTTTAACACACCAAGTTGAGACCAACTCCACCTTCGCATTAGTCCCGAACACAATCTTTCTAGTGGTCCCCAAATTCCGGCTACAGTTTGGAGCTCCACAACAGCATTCGACCTCCGGCCCAAACTGCACAAACCTGTAACAGTGGAAAATTTACAATCTTTATCTATACAGCATTTTTTTTACGAGTTAAACGAAATTTCTCAACTATATATGGTTAAACATGAGAATGCACTTAAAATCGACTGACAATGCTCCATTTTTATCTCATTTGTACAATTCATTACTAAACCACCTCTCATTACAATATTCGTTACTGTTTACGTCATTTCTTGTACTCACTGTTGACAACAGTGAATACTATCATACCTTTCACGAGTTGCAGCATAGCATATGTCTAGGCGCATATAAATCAGAAATACTAAAGAAATAGTGGCACATTTCATGTTTGTGCTCTCTGTGCAACAATTGCGCAAAATACAGGTGTCTAGGTTAGGTTTATTATTGCGACATTAGCGCAAAGATAGAATTCTCGGAGTGAATAAATCAGACTTAAATGAAAAGATTAGTTGATTGACATGTTGATAGGTAAAATTATGAATGATAATAATTAACAATAATAAAGAAAAGTAACTCATTGACACATACCTGTAATCATATGTTAGTGCTTCTCCGACTCTGATTGATCTGGATGCAAAGACACCGACGCGGACCTCACCTTCGACCTGCCTATTGATTATGCAAAACAATAACATATATGATTAGAATATTTTGTTGCTCTTTCCAATTATACTAAATTTCATTGATAAAATAGTTATCATAACTCTTTGAAATTGCGCTATTTGACTCACAATTTACATCGCCTTTAATTCAACAGACTTCCACAACGAACGAAATAAAATAACAACGAAATGGTTGTACGAAAAATTCCAAAAATATACTAACCACTTTTCTAGTTTACAGTTGGGGGCACAACTGTGGTTTAGAAACCGGGAGGCGTTGCCCTTAAAAGTTGCATCAATGACAAAATTCTTATTGATTTCACACATATAGAAGTTCTTTGCCTTCTGGTCTTTCATATCCCACAGCCTTCTTTCGCACATGGCGTCATCAATTACTGAAGATATAAGAGCAATAATTAGTTTGGTCGAATATCACGTTAGGAAAAGCTCTAACTTAATATCCATGAGAGCAAAATCATAAATCATGTTAAGTGCAGATAAAATTTCCTGACAGAACAATGTGATTTTAACCTGGTTCCATGCATGCGCATGTGCAATTTAAAAAAAAACTCATAATAAAGAGAAAAAAATGAGAATGCTTCTGCTGCATCTTGACCATGCACTATGCTAATAAGGTGTAATTGTACATAAATTTGTTTGGTAAAACCTTATGTAAGGATCATAGTTCGCCAATATCCAGATTGCTTCTATAGAAGGTAATCTAAAATATAAGGATAGTCTGAGACGTACAAAATTAGCTCCGACTGCTGTCTGAAAATGATTATCATACACAATATATTAGATGAAAATATTATTAAGCTAGTGTAGAAAACGTGCTTAATGAGATCTTAGGTCCATCAGTAATTTGCATGTATTGAATTCACTCGGAAATAATTACATTTTTCCTAATCAAAAAATCGCTTTCATGTTATTCATATTACCGATGTATATTGTGTTATGGACCAGGCTGTGTAATGTGTAATTTAGATCTCTTGTAATGTGCTGTGACGAATACAAGTATTGCAGTTGGACTAGTGACATTTCAATTATAGCCTACTAAATATCAAATAAATAAATAATAACATATTCACAAATGATAAGGAACGGTCGTAGAAAAAATTATATTGCTAAAATAATGACCAATGTTTGTCCATCATTATATTTGTGGACCTTATATGGTTTGTCGTTATACACGCCAACCGACAATATATTTTATCAACCATCCACTGATAGACAACTTCAATATTTTGCCCCATCACAAATTTATTATGGAACTTCTCTAATACTGATGGTTTTTCTAGTCGCTAATGTTTATGACCTCAGAGATTCCGTCATAGACACATAGTAGTTTGAGAAACTAGCTCCAGCAGTAACCTACAGTGCTTATAATCGATGGATTTTACTAGTTTAACTTGGGAAGTTAACCTCTGGTTTTCTCAAATAATTTAGTTAATGGTTAACTTTTCTTTTTTCACTACTCTAACCACATGCATGTCTGACAATGCTGATAAGCTTGAAATATCAAAACAATCAAAGAATTAGAATTAAATTTTCAGCTTGACAAATTATTAATGCACGTACTAGTAAGCAAAAGGCAGTAAATGAAACGAACATGTGAGCTGAAGATATTAAACATATCTACACAAAAACTGGAAAGAAAAATCACGCATTTTCATTTTTGATTATGGTAGAAATTACCTTCTCCTACATATTCTATTACAAAATCTCCTTCACTGATTGATTCAGCTGCCACAACACCCCAACCACATTTTTCTGTCTGATAGGCATCACAGACTGTCATTTATACACGAAGTGGAAAACCAATTGCAGGATTGAGTTAAAAAGAAAAAAGAAAAAATAGAATAAAAATTGTACCTTCACAGTCTGGATCTTCTTCACTTTCTGAAAGGGTCGGTTGGAACAATTTTTGGAGCAACGACACGCTTTTGAGCAGCTGATGCACTGAACCCTGTGGTGCAAAAGATAATCGGATGAGCGAAAATAATGCGGTGGAACCATGTAAACTATGTTTCCATCATCTTGTGCATGTTTATGGAAGAAGGTACAAAAACAGATCACTTTAGAAAGGAGAATAATAATTACCTGCATACACAACTATCAGAACATTCGGTGGAACTGCAGTTTGTGCATCCGATGTCAGCAACATCATTACTTCGTTTTCTCTTGACGAGGTATATATCTAATTTCGTTAAGGCTCATTAACAAGTAATATCTCCATTATCAGTATGGTTAAATCGCTGATATAAAAAGAAGAATAAAGGAAAAAGAAAGAAAAATACAAGTAGTAATTCGTTAGTATAACCCAGAGTTCTCAAAACTACATATATATAATTGAAAAATTCTAAAAATCAACAAATTTGGTGATACTAGATGATTTTTTTTACTAAAGAAAAATGTAGATTCTTAGTATGAAGCTGATGTGCAAAGGATACTTCGTTTGATAGGAATATATGGAGGTGGCTCCAATTTAGCTTCAATTTCCTCTTTCCACTTTAGATCTATTTTGAACTCCTGAATGTTATATGGAAGTGGCAACAGAGCAAACACATCCTGGATAGTACAATTTAAACATTAGTTGATGGTATATTGATATGGTGGCCAAAAGACATACCTCAAGAGAAATGACTAATGAGCATAATGTCATTGAACATTCATATGAAAATATCCTCAATGTCTGCATAATTCAAATTTCGAGAACTTTGGTTTTTATTAAACCAAAGGTAAAGCTTTACATTGTTCAAGAAGGGGGCGGGGGAAGGAAAAGAAACACTAAAATCTGACCTCTAGTTTGTTTGTTGGAACTGCATTCTGCATAGTATAAAAAATATGTCAATGTTGCTGGCAGCATAATTAGCAATAATAACAGTAAACAAAAAAGAAAAGAAAAGATGAGTAATCTGCAGGCATCCTCACCAGACCTATTTGTAAATGTTGAGGTAATCATAAAACACGCTGAGTAACAAACGAAGTGTTGGCAATGGTATTAACAGAGCAATATCACACTTGACATTTGCAATAAAATAATATTGCACTTGAGAATTACAAATAATTTCGCACTTGACAATTGCAATAAAATAATATCACATTAGGCATTTGCAACATTCTTTGTCAGGGAATACCATCTAGAGGACATTATCCTGCTGAATGCACAAGTGAACAAAATAGAAGTTATAGATTCCATTATGCAACTATGGAAGAGAAAAATACAAAATAATGTACTGGGAAGTCTTTTAAATATAATGGTTACACGAAAGTGGCATCTTCTAGTCACATGAAGACTTGTGATCTGAAACAGCCTGACCAGAGGCTGTTATTATGGGGATATCCTGATCCAAGCAGACTAGAGTAAAATATTTTGGTGGGAATTTTCATATCAAACGCTTAAGGTGATGTGGCCACTATTTTTGGCAAGAACCGAGCAAATTATTTTTAACAGACTAGACCATTTTCTAAGCTGGATACCCAACTAAGGCTGACTTGACCCTGTTGAGTTATCAGCAACCTTACAAACCCAAGAGACTTACATCCGGAAAGTGGGAAACATGCAATTATTTGTAATAAGAAACTAAATGATTTTCACTCAAAATACCGTATCTGACAGGAAAACCAGAAATGTTAGACTTTCATTCATATAGTGAAGTCATGCTGGATAACAGAAAATCATAGCAAATCATTCAAAATATCTATTTAAAATGTAATGAAATTTCTGAAATTAAAGAGATCAAGGGTAAAATACATAGTGGAAAATAATGAAGAGAGAGACCTTCTCTTGATGCCAATCAGCAGAATGCCTCCAGCAAATGGCTTCTCCTGGTCGGTCGGGAAACTTGACGACATACTCGGGGAATGGGACACATTTATCATGACATGCCATTGCACACCTTATGCATTTCCAAAAACGAAACCTTTGATTACATAGAAAACACGCCTGATGAGAAACATAAGATGTCAGATGGAACACTGTTAGCCTTCTGCAGGTTATGCACTGTATAACAACACAACAATCGTCTTAAAAGATATGACAAAGAATTTGGTCGACTTGTTTTTTCAGACATAAACAACACATAAAAACAGTTGCTAGACAGAAACAGCAGGATTAAGTGCTAGATATAATTGTACCCCCAAGGTGAGAAGTCTTGAACTGGAGAAAAGAACACGAAACCGACCTATCGAATTGGAATTTAGTTAGAGAGAATATGCCACAGAGTAAGCTGGCCCACTCCTCTTTTTAATTGAATCAAAATAAAGAAAAATGAGACACAGTGGGAAATATGATGAAGAGAGAACAATCTCAATGTCAAAAGAAGAGTCTGTTGTTTATATTTATAATTGCTTTCAAAAATAATATTGCATTTTAGCCAGATCAAATTAAGGCTTGTTAATAATCAAAGTACAACTGGTGAACAATTTCAGTGATATTCTGATCTCATCACTAATGTGACTCTAAGATGAACATGCAAAATCTTAATCTGAAGGGAAAACAAGAATGACCACAGAAAACAGAAATAAATGTATAATAAACAATATGAATTACAATGATGCAGTCAAACAGATATCAAATTACACAAGAACTTACATGTTGAGGGCACTTAAATTGCTTTGATGATTTAAACTTAAAATTTTCTTTCGCACATGTTAGGTGAAAGACACACAGACAACCGCGGACGGAACAAGACAGTTTCTCCTCATGTTGGACTGAATTATGGCAAACACGGCACTGGACCTGAGACAACCAAAATCAGTTAACTTATTGGGAACATTCTGAATGTAAACAATGATGTGGAAAGCAAATTTCATGGAGCTTCCAGGTAGAAAAAGTGGGAAAAAAGAACGAAGAAGAAGAAGAAGAAGAAGAAGAAGAAGAAGAATTCTTGCAAATTGCAATTTAAATCAAATTTAATACTAGAAGAATAGAACAAGAATCAGCAAAATAATAGTTCTTCAATAATTAGTCAATTTTGAACTGATTTTCAAAACCAAACTGTAACAATGTTTATGAATGATTCTCAATAGACGACCTACTAAAATAGGCACTTCATATCTAGCAATCAAAAGAGATATTCAACTGAATACAATCTAAATTAATCCAACTAATCAGCACCTCAAACATCAAAGTGCCAACAAAATAACTTAACAAACCTTTATGAACATAACCAACAACCGATAACCCACAAATACTTCATAAAACATTCAGAAATATAATGACTAACCCAATGCCTCAAGAATAAAGAGTATAGATAGCAATCCGAATCATCACAGACTAACCATAAACACTTGGGAAAAAACAGCTAACCACAATCATATGCAGGAATTGAAGAATAATAGCCAGAAAACAAAAATTAGCAATATAGGACACACATTTCAATTTATTTTATTCTCTGCTTCAGAACTACAAGAAAAGGGGAAAAAGCCAATAACAATACCAATTTTGGAGCTCCAACACGAAAGGGCACAGAACACTTGAATCCAACGGCTCCACATTCTTCCGAAGCCCTTTCAGTCCCGTCCCTATCCTCATCCCCATCCCCGACTTCGCCTTGCAGCTCCAATTGGAACCAGGAACCCAAATCCTTATCCGGGTCGGGTCCTTGCCCCGGCTTCTTCCCAATTGCCCCTCCTCCTCCTCCTCCACCACTATTTCCTCTGAATTCTTCTCGCCCGCCATCGCTAGACAACCCCGCCAATTGAGGTTCCAGCTCGAACCTATCCGGGCTAAGTTCCGGGCCTGGCCGGGCTCCGCTAAGAATTGGCTTGTTGAGCTCGGCCCGCGAGCTGAGGTCCGGTGGTGCACTCAGTGGGTTACCAAGGCATGGCATCTTCTTTTTGGTGGTTACAGGGAGGAGAGAGAAAGAGTAAGCTGGAGTGAAGAGAGATAAAGGAAGAAGATTTTGACGTTACACTTGCAGTCAATGGTGTGTGTGTACTTATGGGGAAGATGACTCGAGTTTCCTAGAGTTGTAAAGGGGGATGAGCTCGAATTTTGGGCGGGAAACATGAAAATTTATGAGAATTATATTACATATATTATTATTAGTATTATTATTGTTATTATTATTATTTATAGGCTTTATAAGACACTAAAAGGGCTGTTATCGAATCGAGCTTAAGATTTTCGAGCTCGAGTTCGACTAATATTCGAACATGTTCGTGTTCGTCCGTTCAGTAACTGACAAAAAATTTTGTTTGTCTTCGTTCATTTATTGGTTCGACCATAGTTTTCAAAACTGAACCGATCATCGAACGGGTGAAGCTACTGGTTCAATGGTTCACTGGTTGATCCGATTTAATTAATATATAATATTTTTTATTATGATAATGTATAATTGTATGTATTGTATGATTAATAGATATAACCTACAATGTTGAGTAATGTTGATAACTTTTTTTATTTTTTTATTTATATTTTAATATATATTTAAGTTACATAATAGAGAATAAATTTCTATTTTAATTTTTAAATTAGATTTTAAGTTTTTTTATTATTTTCAGGATTTTTTAGTTTTGATAGTTTTGGACTCCAAACTTGAATCCTCAAAATTAATTTGATTTTTTTTATGAAATTAAAGTAATTTTCTAAATTAAGCCTCATATTAAACAATTTATTTAACTAAAATTATTGCACACACAAGAAGAAATTTTTAGCATATGTATATAATTTAATCACCACTTTGGAGAGACCAAAACCATCTAAATTGGGCTTTTTGAGTACAAATAAATCACAATTTGTAGAATTACCCATTANGCTTTAGCTTCACTATCCAAAGCTTAAAACTGAACTAGTTGTGCCGACCGGTGCCAATTTATTGGTTTAGCTGGTTTTGATCCGAATTTGGGCACAAGCGGTTAACTACCTCAATCCGGATCGGTGTGATGACCGGTTTTCGATTGAACCAGTCAAACCAGCTGATTCGGTCCGGTTTTGAAAATCATGGGTTCGACACGTTTGTGTTCGTTTGTTTATATAGTCAAACTTTTTCGTGAATTGTTCGACAAGTTCGTGTTTGTTGAATTTTTATTTTATTTTAATACCATAAATGTTATCTTATTTAATATTTAATATGTATATTTATATTTATAGTATATTATATATGTATATACTATATATAATATATAAAATTATAAAATATTTTTTGTTCGCGAGTTTGTTCGTGTTCGTTCAATAACTAAACGAGCATAATTGCATGTTCGAGTTCTGATCGATTACTAAACGACCAAGTTGTTATCAAACACGAACGAGCTATGTTCGCGAACAGTTTGGTTCGATAACAACCATGTCACACTAATATGAAATTTCTCCTTATTACGGGGGTGTATTCGTTTGAAATTTCAAGTGTCATTTTGAGACTTTTTTAAATTTAAGATTTTCAGATTTTAGAAGAATCCTGTGAAATCTTAAGTGTGGAGGTAGGATTTCAAGTGTGATTTAGTATAAGGTTTTTTTTCTTTAGAAATTCCAGCAAATCTTAAAAAGTCTTAACAAATCCTAGTCTCAAATAAGTTAAAATCCCAAATGAATACTCAAAGACTTTTAAAAGTCTTAAAGTCTTTAAAAAACTAATTAAATACACCAACATTTCTAAAGTCTCAAAAAGTCTTAGAAATCCTAAATGGATACACTCCGTTAACCAGATTTGAGGGCATGTGACACAATTTGATGATTTAATAATTCATGAATTTTATTCGTTATATAAATGTTGATTGTCTAATGTTATTTAGTCAGACTTTCTATAAAAAAAGAATGTATGTTTATATTATGAAATTTCATCGCTTTTATTTGCATTATATTTTAAATATAATATTTGAATATTGAAAATATTTATACTTATTATAAAAATGTGGTTGCATAATTGTTAGACAGCATACTAGAAGACTGAAGCATGTTCTTGTTATATACATTATATAAAAAATAAAGTTACACCAACATATACTTATATATGTCGTCATCAATTATGTACAACACATGAATGGAAGATAATATAGTACATTGGCGCTAGAGGAAGCCCCGTCGAGAATTTGAATACTACAATGATTCACGGTATCGTTGAGATAAATCCTCACGCAACACTTTTTATCCCACGTGGAAGGACGATAACGCCGACCCCCCATTATCTCGTTACTACCCATGTGGAAGGGTAGCAACGCTAACCCTCCTTTATCTAGTTACTATACCCACGTGGAAGGGTGGAAACGTCGACCCTCCACTATTCTGTTACTCTGTCCACGTGGAAGGACAACAATTAAAGTGTAGGAAATAGACCTAGTATATAAAAAAAAATGTCTCACAATACAATTAAAAGTGGACATGGTTT